TCTTTTCGTCTGCCTCTGTCTCGGCCAGCTTGTTGTTCCTAATGGCTGTCTCTGTGGCTGTGATGAAGTCTACCACAGGGATTTGTTTGGGTGTGCACATTACTAGTAAACTGATAAAGTGTAATATCAGTTGAGTGCTCCTTTAAAAAGCTGGTTTTATAAATGTAGTTGAGCAGATGACTCTTTAGTATGTACACGCACAGAGCTGTCTTTGTAAGTTAACATAGAGAAACAGCAAACGTCATGAGCAAAAGTGAAGGCCGGCTACTCCATCTCTCACAGAGAGCTGATAATCATATAAACCACCTTAATTTAATTAGACCTCACATCAGCTGGCTCTTTTTTCCCAGCTGTCTCTGTTCCAGGCAGAGGTGAAATATGGTTTCCCCTTTTTAAGATGCTGTGTGTGATGAGTATCAAACATTAGCTGATGAGCTGTCAAAAGAATGATGTTGATTCCCCCTCCTTACCCACATCTTCGACCTAGAAATCTAGTCCAGCTAAAGTTTTTCAGCCTATGGAAGAAATACTGCATGATCTCTCTTGCTAGTTCCTCTCAGTACTCTGGCTGCAGCATTTTGGAAGAAGAAGAAGAAGAAGAAGAAGAAGAAGAGAAGAAGTAGAAGTAGAAGTAGAAGAACAAGTAGAAGTAGAAGAAGAAGAAGAAGAAGAAATGTCCCATCGGGTGTGAACATACTATTACTAGATATGCCTGTCTCCCAGCATGAGTATAATACTGTTATTAATGCACTTCCATCTGGCATTCTCAATTTAGCATGCTCCTTCTCAAACACACACGACTCTATCAATTTAGATATTTCTGTTAATGGCACTTCTATCTTTGGTAAAAGATTCAACAACATCTTTATAAGAAACTGCCTCATTCCAAGAACAACAACAGCTGTTAAACATAAATGGACATGCCAGACTCTTGGTGGAAGAACATGGAATACTGTTTTTACTTTGCCCTACAAATTTGTCCTGTCCAACAAAGCTAAAGAACTTTGTTTTAAAATCTTACATAAATTTTACCCAGTAAACTCTATTATTTGTAAATACATTCCAAACATAGAAGAAAAATGCTCCTTTTGCAACAAGCTAGAAACTTTAGAGCATCTTTTTTTTCAATGTGCACATGTTACAGTATTTTGGACTGACTTTTGCTTTGATCTAAAAAATTAAGAATGACAACACTGTCCCTCACCGATGACGTAATCGCCAGGCGCTGCATAAACGAGCTGAAACGAAACAAGCGCTCACCTCTGATCCTAACAATTACTTCCAAACACTGTCACAATTAAACCACCCCAACAAAAAACGAACCAAAACCATTGACCTGCTCAAACGTTTTAATTTTATATCAGAATAGCTTTACCTCTTTGTATTTTCTTTTCTTTGTTCTCACTTGTTTGGTGCTGTTATTCTTTTTCACCTTCTTATTATATGCCTACTTTTGTCCTGTTATGTTCTAAATGCACTGTTATACATCTGTTGCAACAATTTGTACTTTAAAACTTTGTATTGATCTGCATTGTTGTTTAATAAAAACATTTATAAAAAAAATAATTACTAGATATGCCGAGTTTTCCAGCCTGCCGGCATCATGGACCAGTCACAGTGAAGCACGTGAGCAAGTCTCTCATTTGATTGGCTGTTATCAGTGTCATGTGTACCACCACCAGGAAGTTTACGTTTTGCTGCCACTAGAAGCCGTCATAAGCAAGATGGAAGGGTTACAGTAGCTGCTGTACTTTGAAAGGTTAGTGGCTCACAGGGACATTGTGTTAAATGCGAGGTTTCCTAGTTTTGAGAGCATCGCGCATATCATTTATTTATTAAAGTTGACACCCAGAGTGTTCCATATAACTTACAGCCATTTCGGTAATGGATACAAAAGTAACGTTGTGCTAGCGTTAATCCTGCATTAACCAAGATTTAGCACAAATTCGGATAAATCAAGTAAAAAAATGTCTATCAGTATTGTTGGCATTGTGTTTATTTCTTGTCAGTGTTACAATCCGCACCGCACTTCTTCAACGTCCCCGATGTTAGAATATACAGTATGTCCATGGCTCATGTCAAAGACGCACCGTGGAGGCGCACTGTGCGGGTCCAACCCAGGATGGGAGCGGAGGTGTTAGACCCAAGAGGCCGCGTTCTGTAGTACAGAAAGAGGGCGACAAAGAACGAAGCAAACCCAGGGTTAACATCGGTGTGGCATGTCGGAGATGGAGAGCACTAGAAGTATTCAAAGGACGCATAAGTACTGTATGTTAGCAAGCTACCATTAGAAAGTCATCGAGGGCCCAAGGTGATAAGTCCATAAGTTTTGAATATGGAGATAGCTAGCATTACTGTTAAACACTCATCGTTTCATTGGTTATTAATAAACATCTACATCGCATAAATCACGGCTAAATACCTTTAGTTTTGCAAAACAACAACTCTGTAAAATACAATTTAACACTTTAAATTTATCATTGTTCATGTTGTGTTGTCCGTTTGGTCGTGAAAGACTATGGACTTATTTTGCTCCAACACCATATACAAGTCTTGCAGTATTTTTCTATGGGCCAGCCCTTGAACACACCATTATTGTAATATTACACAGTTCAGGTACCAGTTAAGATGAAGCCCATGAAACAGATGCTGATCACGGGGTTTGGGCTGTAAGACATCCAGTTGGAACCAAAGAAATTGGAACATGTCAGTTTAATAAGAGCCTTCAAAGTTAGTCAAATTCAAAATGTGGAAATCATCGTGTTTGTATTTTACATATGAATACAGTGTCTGAAGTAAGTGAGGCACAATATGCATGCTGTTTCAGGATGGACTTTTTTTAAAACTGTGCCTCAGTGTGTATACTGTAAACATAAAAACACTAAGGTGTGTTCTGTCCTGTTTTGTATCCGACTGTAGAGCACTATGGGTAACACTGAGAGCGTGGTGGTGCAGAAACGACTGGCCCGCTTCCGCCCCGAAGAGCGGCCTGTGGTTGAGGGAGTCTTTGACAGGCTCCAGGGTGGTGCTGGGGGCTCCTCAGGGGCCCCAGGGAAAACACAAGCAGGAAAGACTCTAACACTTAAGATGCTTCAGGTTTGACCATAAAAGTCGGTTTTATAATTGTGCATGGCACCTGTCCATGCCAACAGTTTACGTCAGTATAACTTTAAAACTCAATGCATTAGCAGATGAAATGATTCTCAGGTAAAAGGAATATCTACTGTTTTATAAGACAAACATTACCAGCCTTTATAAAGTGTGAATGAATAGATAAATAAGTAAGTACATATGAAAAAAAGTCATAGATGCATATATATACACATATATATATATATATATACCCATCGGCCACTTTATTAGGTACGCCTGTACAAGTGTAGGCAGTTCAAAGCTAGACTACATTACAGTGCCTTGCGAAAGTATTCGGCCCCCTTGAACTTTGCGACCTTTTGCCACATTTCAGGCTTCAAACATAAAGATATAAAACTGTCATTTTTTGTGAAGAATCAACAACAAGTGGGACACAATCATGAAGTGGAACGAAATTTATTGGATATTTCAAACTTTTTTAACAAATAAAAAACTGAATAATTGGGCGTGCAAAATTATTCAGCCCCTTTACTTTCAGTGCAGCAAACTCTCTCCAGAAGTTCAGTGAGGATCTCTGAATGATCCAATGTTGACCTAAATGACTAATGATGATAAATAGAATCCACCTGTGTGTAATCAAGTCTCCGTATAAATGCACCTGCACTGTGATAGTCTCAGAGGTCTGTTTAAAGCGCAGAGAGCATCATGAAGAACAAGGAACACACCAGGCAGGTCCGAGATACTGTTGTGGAGAAGTTTAAAGCCGGATTTGGATACAAAAAGATTTCCCAAGCTTTAAACATCCCAAGGAGCACTGTGCAAGCGATAATATTGAAATGGAAGGAGTATCAGACCACTGCAAATCTACCAAGACCTGGCCGTCCCTCTAAACTTTCAGCTCATACAAGGAGAAGACTGATCAGAGATGCAGCCAAGAGGCCCATGATCACTCTGGATGAACTGCAGAGATCTACAGCTGAGGTGGGAGACTCTGTCCATAGGACAACAATCAGTCGTATACTGCACAAATCTGGCCTTTATGGAAGAGTGGCAAGAAGAAAGCCATTTCTTAAAGATATCCATAAAAAGTGTCGTTTAAAGTTTGCCACAAGCCACCTGGGAGACACACCAAACATGTGGAAGAAGGTGCTCTGGTCAGATGAAACCAAAATCGAACTTTTTGGCAACAATGCAAAATGTTATGTTTGGCGTAAAAGCAACACAGCTCATCACCCTGAACACACCATCCCCACTGTCAAACATGGTGGTGGCAGCATCCTGGTTTGGGCCTGCTTTTCTTCAGCAGGGACAGGGAAGGTGGTTAAAATTGATGGGAAGATGGATGGAGCCAAATACAGGACCATTCTGGAAGGAAACCTGATGGAGTCTGCAAAAGACCTGAGACTGGGACGGAGATTTGTCTTCCAACAAGACAATGATCCAAAACATAAAGCAAATTCTACAATGGAATGGTTCACAAATAAACATATCCAGGTGTTAGAATGGCCAAGTCAAAGTCCAGACCTGAATCCAATCGTGAATCTGTGGAAAGAACTGAAAACTGCTGTTCACAAACGCTCTCTATCCAACCTCACTGAGCTCGAGCTGTTTTGCAAGGCGGAATGGGCAAAAATTTCAGTCTCTTGATGTGCAAAACTGATAGAGACATACCCCAAGTGACTTACAGCTGTAATCGCAGCAAAAGGTGGCGCTACAAAGTATTAACTTAAGGGGGCTGAATAATTTTGCACGGCCAATTTTTCAGTTTTTTATTTGTTAAAAACGTTTGAAATATCCAATAAATTTCGTTCCACTTCATGATTGTGTCCCACTTGTTGTTGATTCTTCACAAAAAATTACAGTTTTATATCTTTATGTTTGAAGCCTGAAATGTGGCAAAAGGTCGCAAAGTTCAAGGGGGCCGAATACTTTCGCAAGGCACTGTATATTCAGAGGTGTCTCTATATTTTTGTCCTCCCCCGCTACACACATGAGAGGGACAGAATACAGCACCACCTCTGAATATGATGTTTTCCAGTACAATACTAACTTTATCTGTGACCTCAATAATAAACATATCATTGAATTTATGACAATTTCACCACAAACTGAAACATGTTGAGCTTCATAAACATAGATGTTAAGGCAGAAGTGTTGCATTGAAGTGCTTACATTTGTACAGGTGTACCTAATAAAGTGGCTGGTGGTACAAAGCTGAAACTTTTTTCACTATATATTTAATGATCAGTTATTTTTCCTAATTTTTTGTACTTTTACAGATTCCTACAGTGAGGTATACTGTACACACTCAGAAATAGGCACTTTCTCTCTTTCAGCTGTATTTTGTGCCCTTGCACCACTAAGCAAATGTCATTACTATCCAAGATATTTTTTATATATATATACCTCTGAGAGGTAAAGATAGTTTCTGTGAGTCTGTTTCCTGAATATAATCAGCTCTTCCTTTTGTCTCTGCCAGTCGTCAGTGGGCAGCCTGGCACCAGATTCCATGGTGAGGAGGATCTACCACTGCATGTGTAGTATCGACCCTGGCATGGCAGCACACACAGCCTCTGGGAAGACTAGCGCTTCTTCTGTCTCTGGAATAAGTCAGGAGCAATTGGTCATCTTCCTTGCAGACACCCTGCGTGGCACTGCTGAAGAACAGGCTCCTCTTGTCATGACCATGTCCCAGAATGGAACAGGGGCAGCAAAGGTTGTCACATGTGTGCAGGTAGAGGAGGTGAGTACAAGGTAATCTTCAATAATAAATAAGATGTTGGTGTGACGGTGTTTCTCTTCTTTGCTGCTTTGTTTTTTTGCCACAGCCCTTCCTTCTCATTCTGCTACTCCATCCTTCACTACTCATGCCATGCTCTGGTTCTGGTCCCCTTTCCTATAGTTCCTACAGGACCTGATCACTGCAGTAGTTCAGATTCTGGTCACCAGAGAGCGTCTGCAGGGCTGGAGGCCAGAGAGAATGGGTGATAGCTCCCTGGGTGTCAAAGTCCTGGCAGAGCATATGTGTTCTGAACTCAGACTGTCAGGTAAACATGTGATCTAAAGGTTTTTGAACATATTAAAAGTAAGGAAATGTGACTGTTGACTCTCCTCTCCTCACTTCACCCTGTTTCACTCCTCAGAACAGGGAGAATGTGATGTGTCCTGTCTGGAGGACTGGATCTTCAGGGTCTCCCAGGTCTCTTTGTACCTGGAGATCCTGGTGGCTGAGGCCTTAAACGTGCCCCTGACTGGCCGGCCGGCCCCTACCCTGCTGCCCCCCTGCAAGGAGACACCCTGGAAGGAACTAAGGTGTCTGCTGGACCTTCCCACCCTCATGTTTCTGGCACCACAGGTTAGAATACTAATGTATTTTTTGTCATATGTGGATTCTGAACAAACTTTGTTCACTCTTTTTATGGTTTGACCAGATTTTTGGTGAAAGCTCTAAAACCGTAGCACAGTGCTACTGATTTTTAAAGAAGTTTAAAAAGGTGGAATGTGTTCACCTTTATTTGGCCAAGTATGTTACACACACAATGAATTTGTTTCCGGTACAGAACCGAGGCAGTCATCTGATGTGCCAACTCACACCGGTGGCTTTAACCAACGGGGGCAACTTGGGGGTTCAGTGTCTTGCCCAAGGACACTTTGACATGTGGACTGCAGGCACTGTGATTCGAACCGCCAACCCTCTGGTTGGGAGACGACTGCTCTACCCACTGAACCACAGTCGCCCCCGTTGTTTAGAATGTTCTCTAGCATCCGATGTGTTAAAGTAAGAACTTGTGCTGTGATTTTTATCATTTGAGAAGGACGAGTGCTCAGCTTCAACCTACCACTGGTGTTAGTGTGACCTGTGAGATTCTGTATCTTGTTTTTACTTCCACAGCAGCTCCATTGTGAAGAGCAATGCAAGACAAGGAAACATGAATGAGGACAGAATGACAAAACAAGACTATAACCCTTCAGCTCAGCAGAATGTCTATGGTTTAGTTTTGATAGTTAATTACTGTGGCTACATGGCGGTCTGAGCGGGGAACCACAGCTGTTGGTTTAGTTGTGAACTCACTGTTTGGTCTTCCCTTAGGGGCCAAAATCAAATTTTGATTCATGGAGGCACTTATCACTGTTCCACCTGACGGTATGAATTGGGACTGTGGATCAGTTCAGTTCAGTTCAGTTCAGTTCAGTTTTATTTGTATAGCACCAAATCACAACATAAGTCATCTCAGGACATGTTGCAAAGTCAGGTCTAGACCTTACTATCATTATTATTATCCACACTATGCTCTCCTGTTCTTTATTTTTTATTGTGTGGATGCTGTTGTTGACCCCCGTTCTTTTCACCACATTAACTCTGAGAGACGAAGCAGTCCGAGTAACTTCAAAACAGTGCTGATTTATTCAATGATCACAGGTAAAATTAACGTTACACGCTCAGGAGTCTTTGCACCTCCAACATGCACGCAGGCAGCTGGAAGATGGACAAAGCCCCCCGAACCATAACAGGCCTATACATTATATCACTTTGGGCTAGCCCATACTACTCAGGGACGCCAGACCATGACGTCTCCGGTGCCAGCTTTGCAGCTGACCATAGCAGTAGTCAAAGCATGAAGAAAATCAATGTGTGATTGTCTGTTGATTGTGTGGTGTGTATCTAAGACATTCTGACATGACATCTAGTGACATGTCATGACATTAAGCATAAGAAAATATTATGATTACAATTATGATTAAACACGTCATAATAATAATAAACATTCTGTCTCCTAACAGTAATCAACTTTCTATCTAGTTATC